GAAGCGCCTCAGTGTCTTTGTTTTGTTGATCTTGATCTGACCTCGAGCTAAAACGCTGTTAGTAAGGTTAATCTTCATTATCTGACATTAGTCAGTGCTGTTCAGAAGGCTGATTGCAGCAAATCTATTGATCCTGCACCTCGGTAGGTCTGCGACAAGATGGGAGCAACTACTAAGGTCTAAGGTCAGCGAGGACTGACGGGACCTTCTGACTTTGTGTATTTGGGAGAAGTCATTCAGATTTTAGCCTGCGATGTTACTGCACAGTCTGACGATTCCTCGCACGCTGACGTGCCTTTGCACAAAGAGCATCAGTATTCGGTTCAGAGGTTAACTTGCTATCAGTAATGACACTGATGTTGTTGAGCAACTTCAACATCCTGGCCATAAAATAAACAGCAGGAGGAACAGGTGGAGGCTTCCTCCTCAAGTCAAGAAGAAGTAGCGTTTGTCCTATCATGTCCTCCTAAAGGCAGCTACACCTTAATGGCCTTTATTTTCACTGATCCTGATGTAAGAATTTCATCTGAAACAGGCCTGTTTGGACTTTAAGTGTGTCTTTGGGTTCTTGTCAGTGACTACAGTGCAACACTGGTGTTCTGTTTGTCCTTCCAGTGCATCTGCATGGCGCTTTTACAGCTGTTAAAAGCTTAAACAAAAGAAATGGTTAAAGTGTCTGCTTTGGCCTGTGGATCTCTGCAGCAGAAATCATTTGGGCCTACATAATGAACTGCTGCCGGCTGCAAACATCAGATTTAAAGCTGAATAAAAATCCCCAAAATGTAGATTGGAGGTTTGGCTCTTTATTTTTTCTCTCTTTTAGCTCCTTAGAAAACTTGATTAATGGTCCTAACGAACTAAAACGGAGCTGTTCTTCGCTGACATTTCGGGTTTTATATGTTTAACGTAAAATTAAATCTCCGATCTGAAAAAAAGCTGTTGGTACCTTAAAATGAGCTGCAGTACTTCAGGCAGAGATACAGGCGTATTTATGTACCGTGCATATAGAAATGTAGCCTATATGTCTCTGTTATTGATCCGCACGCTGTCTGCACCTTTAGATCCTGCAGAGAGACAGACGGGGGCCGGCGGAGGACCGGAGGACTGGCAGGGGACCGGGACTGAGCGGCCGCAGCAGCCGAAAGGCAGCTTCATCCTGCGGACGATGTCCAGGTCAGAGAGCCGCTTCTGTTTATATTTATATATTTCATTTTGACCGTCAGTGACTCCGAAACGCTCACGTGAACATCCGGTTTCTACTCCGCCGCCAGAGAGCCGGCGCGTGACGTTTCTTTGAAACAGTCCCAGGTCGTGTGACACGGAATTTAATTTTAATTACTGAAGTTAAATTTCATTCTTTAAATGTAGGCTACTGGTCAAAGGTTATAGAAAAGGCCCATGTTTGTGAAAAAAGTAAGAAGCAAAAAGTGCCAAAGTTTAAAGGGTTAAATGAAGCAGTGAAGTCCAGCTGCTCTGTCTTCCTTCATTAATAATAATAATACATTTCATTTGTAAGGCACTTTATATTTAAACAAATCTCAAAGTGCTACAGATTAAAAACAGGAAAGTGCTAAAAAATAAAACCTACAGAGCACAACAATAAAAAGGGCTGTCGACTAAAAGCATAACAAAATACAAATAAAGCTTCTGAGGGGGGGTATAGCCTATATATACTTTATTTTTTTGTTTGTTTGTTTTTTACTTTATTTGTACTTTTTCATGCTAACAGGCTGCTCCAAGGTGTTTATTGTAGATCCCTGAAAATTATTTCTCAGTTTTTCAGGCCTAAACTTTGTCTTTACCTTCTTTGGTACAACAACAACGGTAATAACAATAATAATAATATCTGGTTTCTATTTTTGTTTAACTAAAAGTATTCAATTCTTTAATTGGAAAGATTTCTCCAATTTCAGCGTTTTTGTTTTTGGAAGAACGGACATCAAGTTTCACAAACCTCCACATCAATAATCTGTTTTACCTGTTAAGCCAAAAATCACAATTCAAAACACAGTTTTTAACAGTAAAGACAGTTAAAAGCCTGAGGAGGAGCTGCCGATCCCACTTCTTTTGAACAAAAACGCTTTTTTTTTTTTTTCATTTCACTTTATTTTTATTTTTTTCCCAAATCTGAACACATGAAGTACAAAGCTTCTGTCAGTTTTTCTTTAAAGGAAACAAGTTGTACAGTTAGTGCATTCGATCCTAAAACGATGAAAAAATAGATTTGACTAAGAAGAAGAAGAAGTGCTACATAAGGAGATGATGAGGTAAATCTGTCCAGGAAGAAGAAACAAACAGATGAACGGATGCAGTGAGAGAAACAAACAAACAGGACAGTCCACACATTATTATCATCATTATTATTATTATTATGTACACATCAGGTGCATAGAATACTTTTTACAAATCCATTTTTACATAAATACCTACTTTTTTTTGTTTGTTTCCAAAAAGACAAAAACTACCAGCAGAATGAAAAGTGAAACTGCTCCAGGATCAGCTGGTGTCTGACCCCTCAGTGAAAAACAACTAATGTTCCTGCAGGAGTCGTGATTATTGAGCATTGTAAGTTTTTTTTATCGGCGTTATATTACAACAGATTGCATTCTGTTAACATTAAACTGAATAATGTGTGTGTGTCCTGAACACACGTTCTCATCCCAGGGCGCCACATACATATGGACGCTTTGTCAAGACCACCTGGTGTCGCAGGGTACCTTTTAGTGCCATTGTTGCACGTGTAGGGCTAGCAAGTAAGAATAAATATGTCCGGTTAGACTTTCAAAATAAAACTAGTGGTTAATCTTATGAAACGTCGCAGTTTGGTTAGGTGTTGGGCTTAATTAACTACATTGCTTAAGTAACTTTGGGCGTATCCAGTGATGGAGCAGTGGATAAGTTGCATGCCTTTGGTGTGAGACACCCGGGTTCGATTCCCACTGTGACCCATCCACCATTGTGTCCCTGAGCAAGACACTTAACCCCCAGTGGCTCCAAAGGCGTGTGACCTCTGACATACATTATATAGCAATTGTAAGTTGCTTTAGATAAAAGCTAAATGACTGTTATCAATTAGGCCCAGTTGCCGGATCACGTTTGTCCTGCACTCACATTGTGTGTAATGTTCCGAGCACGTTTACGTCATCACTGCAAACGACTTGCTGTTTTGTTTTGTATTTAAAAGCACTCGCGCGGCGGAGTTCACGTCCGAGCGCTCGGGCACAGTTAGCAGTCACGGCAGATGCGTACGGTGCAACCTTAACCGTGCCCGAGCCCACTTATTAAACGAACTGGACTTTGGGGGCCACCTAGTGTGAGTACGCCCTCAAGTTCCACAAGTTAAGTAACACTAACACAGGAAACAAATGCCGGTCTCCTGGGTCAAAGTCCAAACCCCAGCCTCACTCTGACTTTTCTGTTGTTATTAGTGGTACTTTTAGCGTTGAACTATGGCGCTAATTTGGTCCCAGACGCCAAAGGACGCAACAAAGCGTAACTATTTGACGCTCCGGGGATGAGAGCGGGCTGACAGAACTATTTTCAGTATTATTTCCTCGAGTTTGTTTGATAAAAAACTAGAGTGAGCAACAGACAGGAAGTCAGACAGCACTGAGAGACAAACTGACAGGTTGTTGGTTTGAGTCTGAACATGAGATGTGTTGACAAGAAGTAAAATGTAGAATAATGTCTGGGTAAGAAGCCGTTCTGTAAATGTTGTTACAGGAGTAACTAGAGTTGTTTTTCAGGGGGGGTTCCTTGCAAACAAACAGAACTTTGTGAAAAGAGAAAATTACAAGTTCCTCCAACAGGAAGTGCAGATTTTCACTCTTAATCTACAAATTAAACTCGTTAAATAGCATCAGTCTGTTTATGTTCTGCACATTTTACACAAGTTATTGTGTTGAAAAAAATCTAAATCCTTTTTTGGGAAACGTAGGAAAATAATCAGTGAAGTAGAAGAGACCAGAGAGAATAAAAGGTCAAAGCCGATGCCTTCAGGCAGTCTTTGTCAACTTGTAAGGCCAAAACCCGTTTACAACAAGTTTACAACCATAAAAATGGATCAACGGCAGTAATGAACTATACTGTCTGTGTAGACAGTTCAGTTGAGCTTATTTCTCTGTAACACGCTAACAGCCTCGTGTTCCTGAAGTTTTCTATCCCGATTTTTAATTAGACAAGAATCTAAACAATTAAATAAAGCAATCATTTTGTTTGCTTGTGTTAGCATGGGAATTCCATGAGGCTTTGGTAGCACAGCAGTGGCCAAGCCAATGGAGATATTGTTGTTGAACGCAAACAAACTGGGGCTTCAGTTCATGGTACATGATAGCACTAGCTAGCTCTGCCATTGATTCTTAGCAGCGGACAGACACTTAAATGTTGCTGACCGAAAGCTGGAACAACAAACATATCACTAGACGTAAAGTCCTCTTTGAGCAGATATGATTTGATTACATGATCGTTTTCCAACCTAACAAGTTGACAAAGACCAACAGAATTAAAGCTGGATGTTTGGTGACGTACATTTGGGTCTTGTTTCTCGGGGGGTGTAAAACAGATTTCACCCTGTCTCGTGACTCCAGAAAGAGGCTGTTTGTCATTTTAGATCTCTGTACTAAAGTATAAAAAGTGCAGTTAAAAGCCTGTGGAGTCTGGAATGTGAAGAACAAAACGACCAATGCTTTTTAGCAGACTTTAGTAAAGTAAAACTTTCCTTCGAGTTTATGGGAAACGTTTTCCTGCTGTAGGAACCTTGTTTTCTTCTTTCGGACATGTTGTTCAGTTGAGCAGATTTCCGGCGAGCCGGCTGCCGTCTGTTGCAGACAGACGCTCAGGAACCTTCAGCAGAGCAGCGTCTCACTTTAAACGTCTCCCCCCCCTCCCCCCCTCCCCCCCCTCCCCCCCTCCAGGACGCTGGCTCGGTTTGGCACCAAAATCGAGTGTTCAGTCAACAGCTGTGACCACGCTGAAGCTCACCGTCAGTCCAACCCCAACAGGAAGTCCGTTTTTTTGAAGCTCCTCCCTCGTGGCTGATCAGAGTTTTTTGTCACTTTTTTGTTTTTACTTTATCGTTGTCCGTAACAGGAGAGTTTTGACCTCCTGGTGTTTGCATGAGCGGTGATGCCTTCAGGGACGGTAAGCTGTCAACATCTGTGTTTCGTGTGTGTGTGTGTGTGTGTGTGTGTGTGTGTTATCTATAAATCTGTGTAGGAACAAAATATAAAGTTGTGGCATGTTTTACATTAAGAATTTAAATGTTTTTTTTCCAACTTGTGGGGACATTTGGACATGTCTGTTCGGGACAGGAGCCAAAAAGATATTTGAGCTGCAATCAAACTGTTTACGAAGATTTGAGGCAGATTTGTAATCTCGCTACCTGCTCCTGCTTTTTTTGGCAGATTTTGACATCTTCAGTGAGACGAACCTGCCAAATTATTTACAGAGGAAACACCTCCACCTGACTGTGTATCTGACACTCAGGCCTGCAGCTGCTGTTAAACCACTGAGGTCATACCTTCTGTTAATCTTAGTAGCTTTAAGTTTTAATGGCTCTGTTGTGTAAAAGCGATCCGACTGTTTACTTGCAAATAGTGTCAGTGACTGTCGCTCACAAACCGCAGATACATTTGCTTCATTTTTATTTAACTCTCGCAGGCCCGTGCACGATGAGTCACAGCTGCGCCGCTTGTTTTTAAACGTGCCAAAATAAGTGAAGAAACGTTGCAACAGCAACTTTATTATTTTGAAATTTAGGCCTCGGCTGTGGGGCAGAAAATGATCACAGGTGCCATATTTGATTAAGTATATAACAGTAGTAATGATAGTGTGTAAACACACTTATTAGTAATTTTCTAACCAAACCAGAGAAAGATTATGGCCTCTGATTGTATCTCTAGTAATACCAAATAAAAAGACTTCTAAAGATCATCAGGTACATGAAAGGTTGGAGTTTGTTCTGCTCGCTCAAATCTACAGACGGACTCTCATAACCTCAATTACACATTTCATTATGTCCCTTTCTAATGACTCTGAAGCCTCTTGAATCTTCCAGATTAATTACAGCTCATATTTCTTCTCCTGTTGCTGAATATTTACCTCACATTAGTGGTACAAAGTTGGCCTTGTGGTGCATTCACTGTCTGCCTGTTACACACGATTGTTGCTGTACGTTCAGGACTTTCTATTGATATCTATAATTTAGAAGAACTTTAAAATTTTTAGCTAATTATTTGCAGCAAATGTTTCCAACGGGACTCTCACTGTAGTTTGTAACATGATACAAAAAGGCATCAGATTTGCTTTGTTTGCGGTCCAGATTAAATTGTTGGCCAGTCGTTTTTTACTTAGAAGACAGAAAATATTAAAATGTTTGCTGCAACATTTTAATTGGCAGGAAGAAAAACTGAACCTGAGCCTTCGGCCAAACCCGCCCACATGAGTCTGATTGTTGACACAAAATGTGAAGAGGCGTCTGAACGCACCTTTAAAGTTATTTAGATGTCTGACGTGTGTTTGTGTTTGTGTGCGCGCTGCAGTCTAGTCGTCGCTGATGACGTCCACGTCCTCCCCCCCGGGCTGCTGTGTGGCTGCTCTCCAGCGGTTGATGTGCTGACTGCCCTTCCTCTTCTGCTGAGCTTCTGGAGACTCTTCCTCCAACTTCTGACGCTTGTGCTTCGTCCTGCGGTTCTGAAACCAAACCTTCACCTGCACACCGACAGAGAGAGAGACAGGTGTGTCTTAATACAGGTAAGAGTTCAAATACATCAGATGCTGTGAAACACCTTCGTCACACCTCCTCCTCCTCCGCACACTTAAACAAATAGATATTTTTCTCTTAGAAAAACTAAATAACATTTATCATAAACACATAATCCTGAATTAGCTCCTATACCTCTTTAAATCTCAGACGCTTATAAATAATTAAAATCTATTAATGCTATTACAAATAATAGTAATACTAGTACAATTATTACAGCCCTCCTCGTGCCATTACAACCATTCACTATTATTATTATTATTCTTCACTACTGCTGCCACGAATGCTGCACAGCTATTACAATTAGTTACTACCTACACAGCTTGCAATCAGCAATTACTTTTAACACTTCCTGTATTTACTGCAGTTATTACTAGTTATTTGGTATTGTACCAATTACCAAAGTACACACTTTGTACACTTTACATGGGTATTTTCATTCTGGAGACTTTCTACTTTTCTCTTAACAGCTAAAGTTACGTTGCGGAAATCTGACATGAATACTTAAAGGAGACCTATTATACTGCATTTCCAGTCCTGTATTGTAGTTCTGTGACTTCTGTGTGACAGGCAGCTTAATTAGCTAAATCATTTTCTGTCTTGTACTGGCTCTTCATTTCAGCCTCTGTCTGAAACAAGCTGTAGATGCTCCTGTCTCTTTAAGGCCCCCCCTCTCTTCTGATTGGCCAAGACCTGAAGCATGTTTCCAGGCTGTTGTTGCTGGGCAGAACAGACAGACTGAGCGTTGCTGTGCCATTAGTGTGGGAACACATTACCATATATGGAACAGAGTAGAGTAAATACTAGTAAATACTTTAATCTCAGTATTTGAAGCTTTGTTTAACATGAACATCCAACATTGTGACATTTTAGATAAAATATAGAAAAGCATAATAAGTGTCCTTTAAACAAATGAGCCGATCATTGTATTGTAAATATGTTGCACTGTTGCAGATAAAACAGTTAAATAACATTTTTCAAAAGTTACACACACTCACTTTAACACCCAGAGTAGCCACTCTGCATAATGAGTACTTTACTTTTGATACTCAAGTACAAATATACAAGCATCAAAATGTATAAAAGTAGGTCTTCGTGCAGAACTCGGACTTTCAGTTTCTTGTGCATTAGCACTTTTCTTTAAATACCAGTGTATTTCTACTACTGCTACTCCCACACATCATTTAGAACTATTAGCACTACTGTTTGGAATCAGCTGAACTGCTCCTTCTGCTACCGCCAGTAATGATCATAAACGTGCTTCACAGTGATTTAATATCTGTACGCTGGTAAAACATGAATCCGACATGCAGAAGTGTTCAAACTCGTCCAGCAGAGTCCGGTCTGCAGACGTGAGCGTGCTGACTAAGAGCTCATGTTGCACAATCTGTCAGAGTGATATGTAGTAGAAGTACTAAGTGTTTTTTTACTGCAGTAAAATTAAGAAGTACAGAAGTATTAACAACAAACCTAAGCTCCATCCAGAGGTGTTGTATGTAGCACATCATAATATATTACTGTAAGTAAGTATTACTGACTCCTCAGCAACTTTATATTCTGTCTAACCTTATATTTTATAAACTGATCATGTATAAAATCTTAAAGTAACTAAAGTTATCAGATAAACGTTAAGTAAAAAAAAGATTCCCTCTGGAATTTGGTGCAGAAGAAGTAAAAGTTACTATAAAATGGAAATACTCTAAGTAAATGTACTTAGTTACATTCCACCACTGCAACGCGTCAAACGAGACTAAAACATTTAAACTGGAACCATTTAACTCAAATAAACCGAAGGACTGGTGTGTTTAGTTAATAAACATTTGGTAGTACTTTACAGCTGGGAAATATTTTGATGAGGTAATTATTCTAAGTAATAAGCAAGTAATAACATTTATGTAACAGGGCTAAAGACAAAGGGTAAGACTGGGGAAACACATTTAAAGACGGCAACAAGGCAAAAGTTTTTAGTAATATTTTGGTAGTAATATGGTGCATTTGACTTCATGCGGCGCAGCGCCGACTTAACATAATGCATGCTGGACTTTGAAATTGCGTCCGACTTCCACCGGCGCTGCAAAACGTCACCATGTCACACGACCGGAACAAGGCGGCTGCAGGCGCCAAGTCCGGCGGCACGAAGTTGGACCCTTTTGCCTGATGTGGAGCGAGATCAGTCGTTGTTCTAAGCTCACGCAGGTAGAATGTGTCTGACTTGACGCCGCTGTTTTTATTCCCAACGAAAACCCTTACACAGAAACTACCAGAAATGAAACATAATGTGTACAGTATTACCCCAAAACTAATGGGAATGAAAATTATTTTCAGCACTAAAATATGTTCATCACTAATTTACAAATTACACTGATAGTAGCCTATAATATTGTGAAAACATCACCACATTACTGATGTAACCATTTTATTGGTAGTTTACCATATTTGTACCAAAATATTACTGTAATACTACGCTAGTTAAATGTTTCCCCATTATTACCCTGTTACCGAAATGTCAGTCTAATATTCCCCAAATTGTCACTACTTTGGTAATTAGGTGGTATTACTTCATAACCTTTTTCTTATCAAGCTATTACCATGTTATTACAGAGCTGTACTGTAACTCTGAGTTGTAGTGAAGTAGATCTATAAAGCAGTATAAAATGGAAATACTCAAGTGAAAGCACAAGTACCTGAGTAAATATACTGTATTCCTGATTTCTGTCTGTGGCGGATTAAATAAAATGAGTCTGTTTTTTCTCCTCCTCCTGGATCAATGCCCTGAAATGTCTTAAACAGGAACGCAGATTGCTCGATTACTGTTGTCTATAAAAAGTGCAATGATTGCAAAAGCTCTAATTTACGTCAGATTAATAACTGCTGACGGCTGTGATTCTCTGCTGATTGATGGATTGCTCTCCTCCTCTCTTCCTGTCCTCTGCAGTGAAATGAGCTCATAAATAAATCTGGGATGATTCACATCGTTTCGCTGGCGTCAGGACTCGTATCGCTGTGGCGACACCCGATGACAAACGCTGTCAATCATTCCTGAGAAAAGGGGCAGGGAGCGTCTCGGAGCTGACTAACCGTCGACTCACGGTCCCTCCCCTCCACAGTCACTGGACCGCCGCCAGCTGCCTTCAGATCATACCTGAGCTCATCCTGAGAAACACGAGGACATAACGGAAGACTCGCCGGAAAGCAGCGATGTTTCAGCGCTGACGTTGCTAAGCAAGGCACTGACGCCAGCAGAGTTGGGGGTTTAAATCCCGGGAGGTTTGATGTACACTTAACTACTGAGGAATCAACTGCCATCATTTTTTATTTTCACTATTTCATATAAGTTTTCATTTCAGTGAGTAAAATTTTATTGAAGTTACTTTTTTAAAGTGGTCATATTATGCACATTTTCAGGTTCATAATTTTATGTAAGGGAATGCACCAGAACAGGTTTGTGTTTGTCAGACTGTACATCGCTGCATCGTGTGTTGAACTCTCCATTTTAGCTACCGAGTGAAGCATCTCATCAATCACTCAATCTTTGTTGGGAGTTTCACATGTGCAGTACCTAGTTAAGGCCTCTAGCCAATCAGAAGCAGAGTAGGGTGGGTCCTAAACACAAGGTTTAGCTGTACATGTTCCCAAACCTGCTTTTAAGTATAATTTCTACTGAAAGAATTCTTAATATATAAAATTCAGAATATCTGTGTTTGAGACTATATTCCAAATTAATTAATTAATTATTTTTTTTACTGACTTTCACTGCAAGTTGTTAACTTTTAGTTTAGTTTTATATATTCAGTGTAATTTGTACAATGATTTCTATACTATCAGCTGGGGGAAGGTTCAGTTACGTTAATTGTGGTAAATGTTAAAAATTCAATAAATAAGACTTTGACAGTCAGAAATGCAGTATTTTTCATTCATTCACAATGATATTCATTCGTATTTTATGGAAAATATCTTGTTAATTTTTTCTGGACAATTTATATTTATCCATTCAGTCATTAATTCATTCATATTTTTATATTAAAATATTTGACTGCATTTGACTTAATACATTAAATAAAAAAATTAATATAAAAACTGATTATAAATTGATTCATATTTTCTGGGAGAAATTGCAATTTTTTGTTCTGGGCAAAAGGTTTATTCACTCATTCATATGTCATGGAAGAAATTGTAGATTTTTTTGTTTAGTTAAACTTTCTGGAGATTTTTTATTATTCCATGCATACATCAGTCATTCATTCACTTATTCATATGTCACGGAAGAAAGTCATGTTTTGTTGAATTAATTTAGGTATTTATATTAACAGAAACCATAATCAATTATTCATTCATGTTTTCTGGAAGAAATTGCCATTTTTGTTGAACAGCTTTTTTTCTGGGCAAAAGGTTTATTCACTCATTCATTCAGATGTCACGGGAGAAATCGTAATTTTTTGTTTTGTTACGTTCTGGACATTTTATATTCATCCATCTATCATTCATTCACTTATTCATGTGTTAGGGAAATTAACACGTTCAGTTTAGCAATTTTTCCAGACTGTTTTTGTTCATGCATTCATTCATTCACTAATTCACTCATTTTAACTTGTCATGTTTTTAAAGAAAAATTAAATCCATTCATTTAGTCAGGTTTTTACAAAGATGTCATGTTTTGTTAATCAGATCTTATCATTCATTCATTAATACACATTTTCTGGGTGAAATTGTCATTTTGTTTAGAAGTTTTTTCTGGGCAAGAGTTTTTAATCTTCCATTCACTCACTTATTCACTCATTCATATGTCACAGAAGAAATTGTCACGTTTTATTGAATTCTTTTTTGTATTTATATTATTATATACCATATATAATCATTCATTCATTTTCTGGGAGAAATTGTTATTTAGTTACTATCTGGACATTTTTTAATTCATGCACATACCCGTCATTCATTCATTCATATTGTCCGTTTTGTTTAGTTATGGTTATTAAGCCTATTACTTATCCGTATTGTTGGTTTTGGTTACTTTTAAATATTCCTACCCACAGAACTGATTATGAAACATCCACTTCCCATCATGCTCTCCTACTCCCCCCTCAGTTTCCCATCGTGCTCTCCTGCCGCCCCTTCCCATGATGCCTACCTGCGTCTCAGTTAGACACAGACCGCTGGCCAGCTGCTTCCTCTCGGCTCCGACTACGTAGTGATTTTTCTCGAAGGCTCGTTCCAGCCGCAGCAGCTGAGAGGGCGAGAACGCCGTCCGGATCCTTTTAGGTTTCCTGGAGAACGGACCGTGAAGCAGCAGGTTCTCCGGACTGCTGTCGTCCCCTGAACACAAATCCATCAATACAGTGATTAACACAGAAACACCCGCAGCAACCGACGGGCCGAGGGGAGAGGATTCGATCATCAAAGACAAAAGACATGATTACTGATACCCACACACAGTCACATCCATTTAGGGTCAGACAGTGGAACAATTATTGAGACTCAAAACTGAAATTTGAAGCAAATCGTGAAGCTGTGTGCAAAAAGGGGCGCCGGATTTGTTTGGTCTTATTTCCACACTGACAAAACCGAACCACAATGACCTCATTTTATCGTGCTTTTATCAAACCGATTGTCTTTTTCTTGCTGGCATGGTTTGGAAATCTGTACTTAAAGAGCAGAAACGGTCTGAACCAAATTGTTAAATGGTCTCGTAGGCTGGTTGGTGAGTCAGGACAGTTAGAGCAGATAACTGGATCATTTTTAAATGATGACTCCCATCATGTGCACAGTGAATTTCAGCTTCCTCCTTCTAGACGAGCATTTAAGTTCAGAACAAAGACGTATAAAAACAGCTTTGCGCAGACGGAAGCAGAAGCAACATTAATTAAATAATAAATAATTGTATGTGTTTATTTTAGTGAGAATTTGAACCGCGAGTACTTTTATTATGTTCATCTACTCTATAGTGTCTGTGTTTGTCTCTAAAATGTGAGGATGACGTGTCCGCTGCAAGATACATTTACTTATTGGTACAAATAAAAGTAACCTGCCCCTCGGTCGGATCAGCGCACCGGGAGGCTACTGCAAACGTTTCCACAGATTCTATATTTTGTGAAAACAAAAAGAAAGAAATAAACAAAATGAAAAAGCCCAGAGCCTAAAAAAGATGCCAACAGTGAACAGGAACTCTCCAAACCTTTAGGACCTGAACAGGATGTGCGTGAGGAGAAAAGTAACAGCTGCTGCACAGCGCCCGCGGGCCGTCACGTTTGAATGTAAACAGCTACGATAGCCGCTGAACTCTGACCTTTCGACCGACAGCTGATCCGACCAATAGGAGCTCACATGTTCCTTTCACAGCCTCCAGCAGCCAATGAGAGCCCGCGCTGTGAGGAAGGGCCGGCCCCTGTTATTTCCCGGGCAGGCCGAGCTAATTGCAACCAGCTGTGCCGATGACTGGCACTTTCTGTAGCCAATAAGATTCTGCAAATAACGACATCCAGCTTTAAGGAGGAAGTTCATGATCTACCAGCAGAAACACGTCTGCGTCGAGCTGCCGGCTGATACGGAGCGACGCAGCAGCAGCCGCCTGCCGCCAAGGGGCGGGGCTGTTTTAGAAAAAACACGCTGAGACACTCAGAAAAACCTGTGGAAAAGAGTCGTGTTTCACGGTACTGGTATGAAGTTTAAACTTGGACTAGGTAAGGCTTTCTGCTGCTGTCTGCAGGCATTTTCAAGCAGAAACAAAAAGTATATTAGTTTTAGTTTGTTCAAACTGATATTAATCACTTCCAGTAGCTCGTCCAGTCAGTCTGACTTTTGGGTTAAACACTACAGAGTGTTTCTTTCAGAGAAGCCCAAAACCAGGCAGATACTCCAGATGGTTCAAGAACTGCATTCAGTTTACTCTGGATCTGCCCTGAAGAGGCGTTCTGCATGACTTTTACAGGAATGGCAGGAGGTTAAGCGAGTTTAACAGTATGAAACCAAAAAATATATATAAATCTCTCCCCTTTTGGTTCATACTTCTTCCTCAAAGTTGAACACGAGAGCAGATCTGTTGCTGGAGCAGAGAAAATCTCACCACTTTCTAAACTATCCTCACGTTCAAGGTCTGAAAGTCAAACCGCTGCTCACTATTGTTAGAGCGTGCCATCAGAGGCAGATTTGAATACAGACACAGAAACGTGTGTTTGTGCGGTGTTTGCTCTGGGTTGTCTGGTTAATCTGATCAAACACCTCGTGTGTGTTTTGTTGCAGCAGATATTTGCGCTTGGATCTGCAGTCAAACCGCAGCCTGAAGTCTGACTCAGCGTTTCAAAAACAGACGCATCTACGCTCATATTTACTGTTCTGGTGCAACGTATGTTAATGACACGAGTAATTAGTTCCTTTTTTATTTTACCTACTGACGTACATATAAATAGGGATGAAATAATATGAAGAGCAGAGAGAATGTGTTGCTGCTGCTAGACGACATCCTTCTTTATCCATCAGTTGATGTGAGCCAATCAAAAGCGTCTTTGAATATGAATCACTTACAAGAAACCAGTAAACTCATTATAACTACCTTATTATAAATATGACTTATTACATCGACTCCTTGTTTGTTTCAGGGTTGATTTTAAAAAAGGCCCCGGAACAACCTGCCCGAGGAAATCAGGGAGTTTAAGTCTCTTCTAAAAACACACTTTGATCATAAAGCGTATCCGGATTTTATCTGAGCCGCCTGTTCATCTTACTGTTTTTACTGGGGGTTATTTTATCGTTCACTGTGTCATATGAAGCTATTTTTAAGTACTAAGAGAAGAAGAAACCTTTTATTGTCACATACATGTGAAATTCATTCTCTGCATTTAACCCACTGGGCAGCCACTGGGCAGCCACTGGGCAGCCACTGGGCAGCCACTGGGCAGCCACTGGGCAGCCACTGGGCAGCCACTGGGCAGCCACTGGGCAGCCACTGGGCAGCCACTGGGCAGCCACTGGGCAGCCACTGGGCAGCCACTGGGCAGCGGGTACCAGCTCCATGTATCAGTGTCTGTCTAATGGCACTGACTGGAGGAAACCCACGCAGACACAGGGAGAGCATGCAAAGGCCGGGATGACCGGGGTTTGAACCCGCGACTTGCTGTGAGACCACAGTGCTATCCACTGGACCACCGTGCCGCCCACTAATGTAATACTAATAATAAGTCTTCTATCTTCACTGCCGTCCGCCTGCTCAGGACCTTATAAATATTTTTGAGAGCTTGTAAACGTCTTGTGTATCTGTTAATCTATTTTTAGTTGTTGTTGTTTTTTTTATATTTATTACCAGTTCCACATAAGTTTAAAGCCTTTGGTGGTTTTTAGTTTTGTGGTTTCTCTTTCTTTTCCTGTTCTCTGAAGGCAAAGCAGGTTTTATTTGTAGAGCAAATTTCAACAACGAGACAATTTGAGTGTTTTACATGAAACATAAAAGCAACATAGGGCGATGTGAAAAGACATATTTTAAAAAGAGTTAAACAGTGAAAGTAATATATTAGTCAAAAGTCTTACATTTGATTTAGTAAAACACAGCAGCAAACAGAAAAGTATTCAGCTCTGATTTTAAAGAACTGACCTGCAGCTTTCTGGGAGCTGCTGCTTACAGGTATAAACAACTGAATCACATTGATGTGTCTGTTTTTTATTGTGTTCTTTGATCCATTTTCTTCTTTCTTTAAGCATTATATTCTCTGTACTTGTCACCTGTAAGCACTCTTAATGTAAATGACATTAGAGCTGAAACGACTGGTCGATTATTCAACTGAATTTAAAATAATTAAGTGATGAAATGTTTGAATCACTTTTCAGGCAGCAGGAATGGAAAACATCCGCGGAAACCTGCTTCTTAAAAATGTGCAGATGTTTGCTTTTCTTTTTAGAGAGAAAACTAAATCACATCATTTACTTCAATGTAAAATAAAATTGCTTTGCCTTGTTTTACATGTCGGAGCAAAGTGCTGGAGTTACTGTACTTAGCAGAATTCAGTTTGACATGCAAAGCACAGAAAAATACAAAAAGTATATAAAGTAGTGCTTTTAATTAAACTACTCAACTTCACCTCAACTAAAAACAACATTAAAACCCCCTTAAGTTAATAATTCTAACTACGTGAAGACTTTTAATTCAGATACTTAAGCCCATTTTGCTGCAAGTACACAAGTCAGTATTTATCTGTTGTGGTACAACTCATTTAACTTAGGTGGATTTAAAGTTTCATCACCGAGATGATTGCAGGTTTAAAAAAAACAAAACTGATTTGTTTATCCGACGTGTTGAAGTGCGGTCGAGTAAATCTGTCTGAGCGACACGCTGCCGGTAAAAACGGACGTTGTGTTTCTCTTTGTGTGCTCGCTTTTTAAACCCACATGCAACAACATCGTCTTTATTTTTCAGACCGTTTATTGAAATAGCACGAACATTTTTTCAATATATTTTACATAAAAACAAATCAGTGCACGAGTTCTGCTCAACCGCTGCAGCTCGGCTGAAAGGAGACGCAGCCGCCGACACGAGGCACGCAAAAAAGTCGGTTGATCGGCGGTTTCGAGGAAGACAATGATGGCGTGCAGAAAGCAGACATGTGCCCGCGCCTTTATAATCCAACGTTAGCGTCTAGAAAGTGATATTCATATGCAAACCTCGGAGTCTGGAGCCGTGACTGATGGAGGTTACCGGGCGTCTCAGAGGAGCTCAGCTTGCAAATGTGATGGTTGATTTCTGTTGAATGTCAAATAAGTCGAGATGCTCTAATGTAACAATGGCAGAGAGCTTTACAGGGAGAGGTCAGAGGACACAGACGCTCTTCTCGTGGATTTGGTTTCGTGCAGCGGTTGAAGATATTTAAGAAATCGAGGCGGCGAACGCTCTGAAACAAACAAACCAACCTTCCCCTGAAAAGAAAAATATGTTCATCTAACTGAAAGAGAGGAAGTGCTCATGGAGACGCTAGTGCACTTTTTCACCGAGCAAGTCACAAGGTGCTCCAATAATTAATAAGGCTAAGCAGCAACAATAAAAAGATTATTTTTGAGCGTTCCACAGAGTCTGGGCCACCGCTTGAAATGCACCTTTAGTTTTCAGACGGGGACACAGAACAACTAGTAGGCCTTGGTTTGACCTAAGTGGCCTAGTGGTGGTTTACAGGTGGAGCAGGTCTGAGATGTACCCGGGTGCCTGACCGTGTGTCAAAAGGAGCACTCTGAAATGAATCCTGAACTTGACGGGGAAGGTGAAGACAGGACAAGTCCGGTTATGCGACTTGTCCGGCTGGACCTGGTCTACGGCCCTGCAGCAGCGTGCGGAGAAA